CAAAACTTTTAACTTGTGTCTTAAAGTATATGTTAAAAAAAATTTATATAATTTTTACATAATATTAAATAAATAAATATATTTAATATCATATGTCTAAAAAATAAAAAAAATTAATAATTTAAATAACAACTAATGTTTAAAAAAAAGTAATAAAAAATTTATTCTAAATCATTTTCTAATAAAATAATAATATACAACAGAAGCGCCGTTGCATCCTTTTTCTCTCCGCACTTCAATTCATGATTCCCACTTTGCGAAGTACAGCTCTAGCTAGTGCAGATTGAGGTTCTTGGAATTGAATTTTGAAGTTGAGTTTGATATTTGGTCAGACAGAATGTCGACTGTGGGTAATCGCCGTTCGTCGTTGTCATCGTCGACGACGTCGTCTCTGGCCAAGCGACAAGCCTCTTCGTCGGAGAATACTGGGAAGGCCGCTGCTTCCAGGGCCAAGAAGCGAGCGTCTATCGCCAACATCACCAACCAAAATAATGGATAGAGAATCTTGGTTGAGTCCTCTGCTTTGGTGTGTATGCCATATTCTTCATCATTTCTTACTTCTATTTTCGATTCTTGAGAAAAATGCAGTAAAGAATGCGGACACAAAATGGTGTAATGATCTTCGTTATCTTTAGTAATGTCTACTCGTATCCGACATTACGAGCTTTTTGGTGTCCTCCACTCAATTGCTAAAAGTTTTTTGTTTAGGCGGGATGATTCCCGCCCATGGACCACTGATGCCACGTTGGAGCCACCTTGGAGCCAGTTTGATGTCAAATGTCATGCAAGCGATTACACTAACGGCGTGACAGAGCTCAGTTAGTGGAGGGGCTAATTTGCTCCTTACGTGGGGTTTGAGGGCATATCTGTCACTTTTTTAGTTCAGGGGCTTGTCACTAGCTGTCAAAAAAGTTTAGGGGCTTAACGTGGGTTTTTGCCCAATTTTATATTGTTATTATTTACATATATATATATATATTTTTTGTTAGTGCGTAGTTGAAAATTTTGAAGGTCTGAATGTTTTGGTTTTGTTCATGTATCATGTTTATCTTTTGTAAATCAAATTGTTCAATAAATTATGTCATTTAAGAAGTTTCAATCGAGTTTCTATTTTTGAAAGTCTTTCTTTTGGATTGAGAGCATATATAATTTTCTCTTATTTTTTAGTTGTGCTTTTTCAAGTTCTGTTCACTTTTTATATGCTTCAAAGCTTCTTTATTGTTTTTGGTATCAAGGGCCATTCTTAAATCTCAGCCAAGTTATGGGTTTCTTTCAATTTAACTAGTTTCTGTTACTGTATGGCA